TTTTTTGCCATGCAGAGGAAGCTTCGGGTGCCCTCACATGTCCCTGTCCTGTGCACAGTCTGAACCCAAAGAGATTTGGCGGAAGGTGGGGGAGTGGGAGGGGGCTGATGAGCGGTATTGAAGCTAGTCCTTCAGAAAAGTGTGTTTGACAAAATGAACAGAGTACTTCCCCAGGTACCTGGGGCAAATGGGGAGAAAAAAACTGCAGGAAAGGAGGGAATTTAGATCCAAATTGGCCAGGCATGGTCAAGCTCTAAGGAGTGGAAAGAGCAGGATGACCGCCCGCCTTAGAAGTCATCTGCTCCTGGACATCTTTGTTTTCACATTGTGACCCTGAAGTCATGGTTTCAGTCCTTCCAAGCTCCAGGTTTAATGGATATCAGAGGGGAAAGCCTGGGCACACCAAGCACCTACTGACCCGGGAGGTCTTCAGGAAGTACGTCACATACCCTTCCATGACACTTGTGTGGGATATCAGTAGAGGCAGTGGACTTCCATCTTGTAGACAATAGCTCACAGCAAGGGCAGGACAGCTCCCTACATGTAGCATGCCATCCAGCCATGGAGCCATGGAGCGGGAAGTGAGGGGGTCCCCTGAGACCTGCATCTCCCTGTCATCTGCTAGGAAGGAGGATGCCTCTGTCCCTCCCTGGGATGCTGGGGTGGGTGGGATCTCAGGCTTTCCCACTATTCTATGAGAAGTGTGTGCTGCATACCATTCTGTAGAAAAGACGAGATTGCACAGACACACACAATTAACATTCAAACTACAACAAAGGGGAATACTGATGGAAGGAGAAAGGGACGGACAGGGGACAGGGAGCACTGGACAACGAGTGAATGAGGCAATCAGGGCTAGAAATCCTAGCTTTCCTACAAAGACCTCCCTGCCACTTCTAAAGACGAGAATGGGAGACACTGGAGGCATGGAGGTCAGCGTAGGAAGCCAGGGCAGGTTGGCAAGAGAAGGCTGGGCTTCCTATAAATGAGGGATGGTGGCCAAGAGAAGGAGGTGAGCCTGCGTTCTGCTGGAGGCAGTGTGCTTTCCTGGGGTCCAATTTGGCAAGGTGGTGGTGAAGATTGTGGAGGTGTTGTCTAGAAAGAGCCCAGGTTTGAATTTGGATTTGTGGAGAATGGTGCTTTTCTCTCTGAAGGGAAGAACACAGAAGTGAGCTTCAGTCCCTCGGGACCCACATCCAAGGAGGGCTCACTCAGGCACAAGGGAAATATCTGAAAATGTCCCTGTGATCAGTAGGCAGGGACAGGCAGAAATGCATAGAGATATGGACAAAGGAAACTAGAAGACAAAGAGGCAGCAGCAGAAACACCTAGAAGAACAGACCCAGAGGGATTCCATGTGCTGACAGAACACAGGGCTCCTGCTGACAGAACACAGGGCTCCACCCCAGTCCTGGCAGAGACTGCAAGGCAAGCTGGAAGGAATGACCCATGCTCCCTGCTCCCCAGGCCAAGCCCCAACACTGTCCCCACACCCAAGCACTCCCAGGTTTCTTCCCACCTGGTTCTAAATAACACAAGTGGTCATGGACTTCCAGGCCATCTGTCCAATAGCAGACAAATATAGGATTGTGTGGAAGCCACCAAGGAGCAGGGAGTCCAAGGAACACACACACACCAGAGCTGCTAAACATTGGGCCTGGCAACCTCTTATCATTGTGATCAAATGTCACAGAGAAACAACGTAAAGGTGTAAGGGTCTATTGAGGCTCAGGTGTGTCTGCGATGTGCCAAGGCAGAGTATCATGATGCAAAGCTGCAAACTTATTCACCTCAAGGTGACCAGGAAGCAGAGAGAAAGTAACAACATCAAATTATGAATCTATCACTTCTCAGTGATTGAACCCTTCAGCTGGACACCGTTGGCCAGGGGAGTGGTACTTCATGTCTGAACTGTGACAAAGGAGAAACGCTCTTGACATAATGGCAGGCCAGGATGAGCTCCATGAGATACAGCTTCACACATGGCCCAGGGGTTCCAGCTGTGAAGGCTTACACAAACACAAGGTATAATTGAGAGTGGTAAGACCTCTCCTGTCATCTGTCCCGCAGCCTCTGATACCCTCAGCTAACCTGGACAGAAGAGTTCAGCCTGATACCCTCAGCTGTCCTAGACAGCAGGGAGTTCAGCCATATTTCCACATATAATGAGGCCCAGAGATGCTAAGTCACATTTCCAGAGAGTCACAGCATCTAAATAGAAACACCAAACCTCAAGTCAGAGACCTTCTTCCTTTAAACACCAGACATCTCAGCATCAGTCCCAGGTGGCAATTCCTCACCCAGAGTAATATCTTCTTTTCAAAGAGTGTTCAAACACCCAGTGAGAAAAGTCAATGGGGTAAAATGTACAGACGTGCACTGTCACTGGAAAAACACATTCTAAACGCAAGCCCCGGATATAGGCTTTTCAAATTCAGGTCACAAACTTTTATTTTGCCTATTTCGGATTTGAAATAAACAATCACATTACCATCAATTACCACCATCACTTCATAAAAGAAAAATGATTTTAATGTCTGGAATTGTAGGCAGGACATAATTGTAGAGTTATGTGAAAAGCTTTGCTCTCAGCTAAAGACTTTTGCCATCATAGAAAAGCATGTGATAACAGAAGTTTCCTCCCTGCTGAACATACTGGGTTTAGACTTGGGTAGCACCAGCCCAGACAGCCTCCAAGAAAAGATTTGAAGGCTCTAAAATTCTTCTGCACATCAACTGATATTCTTTCCTTCATAAAAATATCCTCAAGGAGCAGCATACAATGGCAGCTTTCAGTAATATAATTCTGACCAAATTCTATAATCATGAAATAAAAAAGACTTCAATACCGCTGAAATGCAATTTTTCCCCAGGGAGTCGCAAGAGATATGAAGCATCCTGTCAATTCAATTGTGTATGTGGGAATATGGGCAAGGGAGCTGTGACTGGCCTCCTGGTGATAAAGCCTATTGTAGGTGGCTGGCTTACACCTCCAAGCTACTGCTAAGGTCCAACAGCAGTGAGTCATAATGGTATATAACTGTACTCCCAGCACTTGGGAGGCTGAGGCAGGAGGATTGTAGAAGTTTGAAGACAGCTTGGGCTATACAGTGAGACTCTGTCTCTAAAATAAATATAAAATAAGCAAGAAGGGAGTCCTGATCAGATGATCCTGTCTTGCATATTTGTATTGTTTTTTTTTAACTTATTGATGGTTCAACATGTTGGGGACTTCCTGGTTAGTGAGACACTGGAAATCCTACATGGGCTAATTCAGACAGAAACCAAACTTGCCCATGAATAGGCCTTTCAAAGCCAGCCAACCACACCCCAATCCACACCCAGCCTATTGTAGCTAACATTCAACCACCACACCTGTCTTCCTCTGCCCTGAAGCAATCAGGGCCAGGTGCCAGGTAACTAGGGACCAGCAGAATGTTCCCCTGCCCTCCTCCTCCTCCAAAAGAACGTCCACTCACCTACCCAACACACACACACACACACACACACACACACACACAAGCTGCAGCCAGGGTCAGGGCCTCCCTCACTTCCTGTCTCCTATTGTAGTGGCTCAGCTCTTGCAAATTCTGTAACCATTTCTTTCCATTGATGGCTGTAGTCTCTGCGTCACCACTGTCGCCTCCATGATATAAGATCCTGCAGGCACAAATTTAACTGCCCCTCTTTCCTAGCACCCTGTCCTTTCTCTTTGTCATTTTGCTAGAGGTCAGAACCTGAGGGCTGCTCCTGACAGAGGGACTCAGGACCACCGGCCCGTTGTCTGTGGCTTTGTGCCTTGTGACATCAGGGGCCAGTGAAGTTGTGCTAGAGGCCAGTGTAGTCACTTTGCCTGGACTGCCACTTATGGATGCTAATATTGACATACCCTCCATGGAAGATCAGCTGAGGTGAGAGCTTGAAGGGAGGCCTCAAGCTAGGACCCGGGGAGCTAGGAAGAAAAATGGGTTGAACCATCCCCCAAAACTATAGCCACAAGCCAAACAGCAGGCAGAAAAATGAGGGTAGTTTTGAGTCCTTGCCCCAACCCAGCCTCTTATGGAAGTCAGTATTGCCTATAGTGAAGATAACATTTGTCACAGGTGCTGTCCATCAAGTTCACATGGTGTGTCCATGGGACATGTGACCAGTGTGCTGGCATGACCTTAGCACACCCAATCCCACAGCCACTTTCCTAAGAAAACTGGGAGGCTGTTTCTCTCTCTCTCTCTCTCTCTCTCTCTCTCTCTCTCTCTCTCTCTCTCTCTCTCTCTCTCTCTCTCTCTCTCTCACACACACACACACACACACACACACACACAAATGACAAGGGGCAGGAAACCCCAGAACTCAGTTCCAGGACTCCTGACTGAAAAGTTACACATTCTATGGAGGGGTTTTTAAGGAGCAGCATGTCCAGGGCCAGCGAGATGACTCAGTGATAGAAGCCCTTGCTGTGTGCAAGCCTGAACCTGAGTTTCAGCCCCAGAACCCATGATGGAGAGAACCAACTCCAGAGAGATGTCCCCTGACTTCACACGTGTCCACACTCACACACACAATGACAGTATCTGGGAAGTAAAACGTGTTTTAAAGGGACCATGCTCTGGCACCTAGCCTTGAATGACTCTGATCTTGGTCACCACAGGACCAACTATGACTGCTGGAAGTTGGCATTCAAATGTTGATGACCACGAAAGCTCAAGAAGACTGCCTCCCCAGTCCCTCCCAGTCTCCAGTCGCCAAACTTTCAATGATCCCCTATCAGGGCCATCAGTCTCACGCCATGGCTGTAGCCCTTCACCAGAACTGCCCAGTGTGGATGACTTAGAAACCACAGGGTCTCACAAGAACCACCTATACCCAGCCTGAGTGGCCCTAGGCTCTACTCCTGCCCAGGAGCTAGATGGGAGAGCTCCTTCCACCCTTAAGCCTGAGAGCGGACCAGGCACCCCTCTTCTAATGGAAGGAAAGGCACTGTGGGACAGGATGTAACTCACGCTGTTTCTCCTGCAAGATGCTGGATGTGCACGCTGTGGCCCCTTCTCCTGTGGAAACAAGAAGGACATGAGCAGTGGGTCCCTTCTCTCATGCACCAAGGCTGCACTCCCCAGAGGAGCTGCTGACAGCTGCCACTACCCCTCCAGAGCCAGGGGTGGCAGAGGCATCACCCAAGTTTCAGAGTTAGCCCTTGGGCTTTGTGTGTGACCCAGGCCTGAGCCCCACATGACGTCATTGTCGAGTGCCAGCTGGTTCCTTGGTGATGGATGCCCTGGACCTTAGCCTTCCCAGGGTTGTCTTTGCTGACTCCTCCCTCTCCTACTATATGGAGCAGCTGCAGACGATGCTGCCCTCTGGCCTCCTCACCTGATCTTGTGAGGGTCTGAGCTGGGCACTGTGTTCAAGCAACAGTAGTTAAACCTCTCCCTAGCCCAGACCTCTGTCCTCCATTTTTGGTCTGTGCATCCTGCTGCCTCTGGCTCTGATGGATACTTCCCAGATACCTCACAATCTCCATGAGGAGGACCTCCTGAGTAACTCTGAGTAGATCCAAAAAATGTCTCTGAAAAAACCCTGGTTCTCTAAGGAAAGACTCAGGGCACTTCAGGACATCACCTCTAGGATCTCCTAGACCATGTGAGGCTGCCCTGTTCCCTCCCCTTCAGGACTCCAAGGTCTGCTATGACTCCAAGACACCACCACCAGAGCCCCTGTTTTCACAGCCCTCTACATGCCACAACTGCCTTCATGGCTCATGTCACCTGGATCCAAGTCTCTCTGGTTCCCTCCTATGAGTGGAAGGAGCACACAGCTGTGGTCTGAAGGCTAGAACTTGGTCCACACTAAGCCACTGCGTGATCTCATACACCTCCCTCTCCCTCTCTGGCCTTCATTCCTACAAAACACTGTGGACCCAATGCTCTCTGGATATCCCCTAGGTACTAAAAGCCTGATGTTTAGATATCTGCTGTCCTTCACTTACTGTGTCTGCAGGAGCCAGTTACATATGCCAACTCTTCTAGAATGGATGGTCCATTGGTACCTTGTTCAGAGGGTGCTTGTGCAGTGAGTAATTAGAACTCTTAGAACATAGTAAGGAAGCTAACTCTTGCTTCATGAGGACTACCCTTTGTTGTTGTGGTATTGATGATAATTCTTTTTGTAAGACAGGATCTCACTGCATAGCTCTGCCCGGCCTGGAACTCTGCAGCTGAGGCTGGCCTTGAACTCAGAGGTCTGCCTGATCTTATCCTCCCTTGTGCTGAGACCAAAGGTGTGCTCCATCATGCCCAGTTTGCCCTTACTGTTTCACTGATTTACATGTGAAAACTGACTCATTACTTTGTCTTTTGTCTTCATCACAGCACGAGGTGGAGTCAGATGAACAGAGTCAATAACTAATGTGTGCATGGCTTAGAGTGCTCCCCAGGTCCTGTGGCAGGACAGAGTCCAATTGGAGAAGAGAGGCCTGGACCTTCATGGAGTGGCTCCCATCCAGCATGGTGAGGTGGCCACAAACTGTGTCCCAGGAATGAGAGTAACCCAGATGGGGCTGGAGAGATGGCTCAGCTAAGAGAGTAACCCAGATGTAGACAGAAACCAGGAATGATCCAGTGTCAAACACCAATGGCAGGTACCACTCTTAGGTGTCATCTGAGGCCATAGAGCATAGGTGCATCTGGGCAAAGTCACTTTCCCTAACATAGAAATGAGGTCACACATTCAGGGTACACGGTCCGTTTCCCACTCATGGTGCCAAGTGCCAGGGGTAATAGAGAGATGAAGAGCAAAATGTGTACAAGGCAAGTAAACCTCTTCATGGAGCGCAGTGCTTGCTGAATGCAGTCATCCATGATGGATGGGGGGGCGGGGACAGGGGGTGGGGGCTGTTTCTCCACCTGAAGCCTCAGGAAGCCTGTCGCAAAGCCATGATCTGAGCTCTTCCAAGGGAAGAGAAAAGGACAGGGTGTTGCGAGCAGTCAGCAAACACCATGTTCAAGGCATGCCAAGTCCAGGGGAGGCAGGATGCGGGGGGGTGGGTGACCCTGGGCCGGAAGCCCATTCACATGAATATAATAGGTAAAACAGCCAAGCTTCGGTGCAGCAAGGACTTACAATATCTCCCACACCCCAAGCTCCTGTCACTTCTATTGCACCCAGAAAAAGCTACACAATTAGCTGGGTTCTAGTCAAAAGGAACAGCAATAGCTCGGCCCAGAAAACAAGAAGAGCAACAAAGATGCTGACTTTGTTCTGGAGACTGGGTCTGCCGAATGCCAGTGTGAGCTCCCTCCTACTCAGGGTTCCTTGCAAGCACAACAGTGGCTCTCAGTGGCCTGGGACACCCACTCCCTGACTTAGAGCACACCCTGGGAGCCCACCATCTCTCAAGTCCTCCACTGCTAGACTCTGCCAGCTACTATGCATAATGGCCAGCTGGGGAGTGGAGTGATACACCCCTCCTGTGTACCTGCTGTCCACAGCTAGTCCTCACCCTCTGGGAAGAGAACACTTGCTTCCTGGATAGAATGGGTAATGGTTTGCTCCCTCTGAATTACACTGCCAGGCTAGAGAGACACAGCAGGTGAAAGCACCTGACCCCTACCCTGCTTGTGCCCAGGCTCCCATTGGAGGGAGAGGAGAGGTGTGACAGCCAGCCAGACAGAACTGAACTGAAGAAGGCCAAGCACCCATCTTGGGAGGCCTCCAGGTGCTGCAGCACGGGACTACATGCAACAAAGCCTCAGCCTGGGGCACATGATCTGCAGGCTTCACTCACAAACCACAAAAAGGGAGACGGAATAATTCAGAACTGGGAAGAGTGAAGCCCAAACGAAGGGCTCTTTGTAGCACTGGTCACAGCCCTGACCATAATCAACAATGCCCTGGCATTTCTTACACACCTACCAGATGAGGGAGACCGTTCTGGTTCACCATCTCTGGGTCCTCCCCCCAGGCCACCCAAGTTCCACACCTAGACCCTTTATGAGATGCTCTCCCGTTTGGTGCTCTAGTGACCACAAAGTGAATATATCTTTGAGCTGGGGCAGGATTTTCACCAGCAAGATTATCTGATGGAGAAGTGGCCCAAGGGCCTGAGAGTCTCCCACTGCAGGGAAAGCTGGGATGCAGAGAGTGGGGGAAGCCAGGAGGCCAACACTTTGAGATACTCATGCACAGGATGTTAATAGATTTGGAGAAGGGAGTGTTAGGAAGGAGATCAGACAAGCTCAGAGATCTCACAGCCAGCCAGAAGTATGGCTACTGCTATGTGGACTCGGCAGGCTATACCTAGCAGTACAGATACTTTATGTCCTTCCCTGTGCTTTCCACACCTGAAATAACCGTGTCTTCCTCCTATGCAAGACAGGCTCCCTTCACAGATACAGAGACGGAGACTGGGGCTCCATCACTTGGCCACGATGAGGACTTCTCCTTCCCATTGCCCTGCCTCTCCCTCTTGTGATCTCTAGGCTGTGGCTTCCTGGGAGAGCTCAGGTGGTGAGGGGGAGTCTTTGAGGCAGAGAGGCTGAGGGTGGGTAGAAAGAGAGCAGAGAAGGGACTCTTAGCAAAGGGTGTTGAGACTGGCCAGTGTTTCCTGCAGACTGAGTTTCCCTACAGTGATGATGGAGCCAGGACACTGAGGTAGGCCAGAATGAGTTTGCTTTCCATTGTTGCATTTTGTTTCTCTTTATGAATTTTGCTCTTTGATATTTTATAAATATATACAATGCACTCTGATTATTCTTGCCACCTGCCCTACCTTGTGTCCCTTTAATCCCTATCTACCCCTTGTTTTTTTTTTTTTTTTGAGAGGGTCTCAACTATGTTGCCTAGGCTGGCCTGGAATTCAAATCTTCCTATCTTAGTCACACCACCACCCAGTGTGCTCCGGGGATTACAGAACTGTCACCATGCTGGGCCTACTATCCATACTGTAAATTATGTATATGGGGGCGGGGAGGGGGACAGCTGTTGCTGACAGTAGGCTGGCTTGTCTGCTCAGCCCAGACTGGTTTTATCTCCCCTCAGAGCCACCAGTGACAGAGGAATCATCTAAGCTGCGAAACTTGGTTTCCTGATTAGCAGGCTCCCAGGACGTGGGCCATTAACCAAATGTGCAGCTGTTTCAGCGTTGCCTAAATGAGACCCCACTTGGCCTGGAACTTTCTAGGGCCCCTGGGCCCAACCACTTTGTCTCAGCTTAAGCTTGCTTCTATCACAGGAGCTGCTGGAATCATCCATAAGCCGAATAGTTATGCAAAGAGGGCTGAGGGTTGGGGGCTGGGATTGGAGGTTGGGGCTAGCAGCTGGGGTTAGAGACTGAGGGCTGAAGGCTAGGGTTAGAGGTTGGTGGCTCATGGCTGGGGTTGGAAGTTGGGGGCTCATGGCTGGGGTTGTAGGTTAGGGACTCATAGCTGGGGTTGGAGGTTGAGGGCTCATGGCTGGGGTTAGAAGTTGGGGGGCTGGGGTTGGAGATTGGGGACTCATGGCTGGGGTTGGAGGTTGGGGCTCATGGCTGGGGTTGGAGGTTGGGGGCTGGGGTTGGAGGTTGGGAGGCTGGGGTTGGAGGTTGGGGGGCTGGGGTGGAGGTTGGGGGGCTGGGGGTAGAGGCTAAGAATTGAACCAGGAACTGGGCCACTGCTACTTCAGGATATAGTCCCACAAATCTTGCCTTTCTCAAGTTCATACAGTCTGGGGAGTTTGACCACAGCATCTCTCCAGAGAAGACACTTGCAACCCTTGATAATGACTTCCCAAGTGATCTCTTTCCTCTTCCCACCCATCTTCCTGAAAACCACCAGCTCTCTCCAATAAGAGAAGCAAAATGTGAGCCAATCTCTTTCAACAAACACACAGAACAACAGTCATTCCCTGCACCCAAAGGGAGGCTGTGTGGTTGCTGGGGAGGACTTCAGTCCCTGAAGAAGGATCTCATCCTTCCAGGGCAAGGATGCTAAAGCACATGTGTGTCCTATACTCTCCTGTTGCTGGGTCTTGGAAGCCTTAACAGGCTCAGGCCAGCTGTTAGCAGTTCACAAAGGAG